GCCAAAACATCTGGAGAGTCACAAAATACCCAACTCTCTTCTAGAACCTATGAGAGCAATCAAGTAAATCAGACATGTATATTTATATTCCCTGCTATATAACTATAAATGTTAACTTCTGGTTGAAATTTTTAAAAAATGTACCAATGCCATAATAATTAGAGAAGTTCCAGGATGAATATTCCTTACCACAAATGTAAGTCCTTTGCCTTGGTTATCACTTATTGAGAAGTCCAACCTGCCTGGATCAACAGCTCCTAATTCACCTAAACATTCTCCACAAAGCAGCCGTGCATGTGAATTCACATCCTGACAGCCAATTAGGAGGACAGTCACCAGCTGAGAAATAATGGGCTCGACAGTTTCGCTATCTGTCGCATATTTTATTAGTTGTTCCTAAGAAAGGGGTGGGGGAATAAATAAATTATACACACAGTTTATATTCCATTGCTGTAGCACTTGTATCTTACCCTTCCAGCATTACAAGGAAAATAATACATAAAAAATACAATAGAACATTTCATTTAGGGCCAAACTATACCTGGCCTACAAACACAGAAGAATGAGATGAAATGAGAGAATCTTAAGGAGTGGAAAAATAAGACAGGGAGCTGGGAGAAGAAACGCTGCTTGGGGGAAAGTAAGGCTTTTCCACGTCAGAAAAAGGAACACCATAGTACATCAGGAATGGAAGAATGACTGCATGAATGAATGCAATCCTGTGGAGCAGCTGCCAGTCAGTGTAAACAATACTGAGCTAGATGGGCCAGGGCAGGCAGTTTCCTGTGGTCCTAAAGACAACTCTATCCTGGCCCATCTGGATTTGATTTGCTAGATTTATGCTCCTTGGTACATTTTGTTCTCCAGAATCAAGAGTTTTATGCAGGAGGAGTGTATAGCTGAGGGAACGACCTGGTTTGTGTATAAAGGCAATTCCTGGACTTTTTAACACAGTAATTCTCATGGCCAAGTGGGAGCAAAGGGAACATACTGGTTCTCATGCACTTGTCTTTTCCATTTAACAGCAATAATCTAGAAACACTATATGATATTCAAGCCTAGAAATTATAGGTTGTTTAATGGATAAACAACTCAGAGCTAACCCAGAAACAAACAGTGGTGTGTTGTTGGACATCAGCCCAAAAATGACTAAAAGTGGAAGTGATGACTCTTGCTCTCTCTTGGCTAGGATAAAGCACCCATGAATTTCCATTACAGGTGATCTGGGGCATAAGGTCCATTCTACCACATTCTGCTGCTCAGGCAGACCAGGCTCCAGATAGTGAAGAAAATGGAATATAGAAAGGTGCCTTATACTAGGCTAGACACTGTTTTCCATCTGTCTCAGTGCTACCTTCTGACTAGCACTAGTTCTCCAGGTTCATAGGCAGCCAGGGGTCTTTTCCATTACCTTCTGCCTCAACTTTTATCTGGGGAAGCTAAAATTAAAAGTTCATATCCTGCACATGCAAAACAGATAATCTGTTACTAAGCTGTGGTCCCTCTCTTGCACAGCTACTACCAAAAAAGCACCACTTATGCATCAAGCTTTTTCCTCACTCCCTGTTAATGCCATATTTTCCTGCTTCTACTGGTAACCAACATCACAGTGCAAGGAAACAGAGACATCAAGCCACAACATGCTATATAGCCTGTGGTAGGAAGCCCATGGCCCTCCTATTATCCCTAGTCATGGTGACTGGGGCTGATGGGAAATAGAATCACAGGAGTGGAAATGCATTATTTCTACCTATGTTAGGAATGACTTCCTTCAGTGGAATGGGGGCAGGGGGGTTCTCCTCTTCCCCCTGAATACCCCGAAAACCTGTTCCAAAGGGTTGGGAAATCCTGTTTGTGGGAAAGATGTGTGAGAAGCTACACATGAAAGAAGAGTCCAGCTGCATGAGCATGTAACACTGGATTTTACCCCTAATGGAAAGGTACCAATGGATGTATAGTTTTCAGGTTCAAACCTGGGATTTTTAGCTAAAGAATCAGAAGTAGCAGTATTGGGAAACACTTCTCTTTGAAACCTGGCAGGCAGCTCTCACTCAGAGTAGGACCAATGGTGTAACAGGTATATATATTACAGGAGCTCTTTTTATCTGTGACAAATCAGTGTTGAGCAATTCAATAGGAAGGCAAGTCTCAAACCAAATGAACATTAAAGAGAGAGTGTGGGAATCCTCTCTATTGTCCATCAATCACTCCAAAGAACATTTATGTGCATTAAGGCAGGATTAAGAAACAGATACTTTAAAAAGGCAGGGAGAAAGAATGCACCACATACAAATCTGTCTTCTCTTGTCAGGCTGACATTGAAACGCCAAGCTCACTTACTGCAGGAGAGGTAACTGAATATCACACAATTTACCTAGTATGGATTACCTTTCTCAGCAAAGCTGGCAAAACAAAGGAAGAAATAAAACAGCCAACTGCAAGAATGAGTGAATGGTTAACAATGCTTTAAAAGCATTGTTAAAACAGAAAGACTGTATTTTTGCCTTTGCTGGGAAAAAACCTATTCTAATAAATATCCAAAGAAAGGATAAAAAACCTTTCCTGTAACAAAAAGCATACTTCTGCTTATCCTTTGTTCTAAAATCAAAGAATAATTACATTAATATAAAAATAATGAAGGGCACAACGCTGTGGGCTGCATCTCCATTAGATGGAGACCTCTGAGATTGGAGGCTTCTGAGTGCCCTGCCAGGATGCTGCTAGCACAGCAGGACCTCTCAGTATTCTTTCCCTCCTTTTTGCTAAACAGGCCTCTAAGCCTTTCTACAGTAGTCAAAACTGAAAGAGGAAGGGCTACATTTGTATCCTGACCTTTCCTCCCCAGAATGCCCCTTTTCATACCTCTCCAAGGTCCTCTGAAGCTATTTTTACAACTGCAGAAACCAACCTAATTTTATATTTTGCAGTGCAACTGTATACCTGTCAACTCAGAAATCAGTTCCACTGTGTTTAGTAGGGCTCACTCCCAGGTGGTGCAGCCTTAACTACCTGTCATACTAATTCTGAGCATCATGGTTTTACGTACTTGATTTTTATATAATGTTTCTTTCAGACTAGTGAGAGCATGGATCCGAACATCTACATTCTCATGCTGAATAGCCTTCATAGAGAGCTGAAGTGCTGTCTGCAAGTCTGTGCTCCTGGAGGTCTCCTAAGGGAGAAAACACAGAGAATGCTTTCCATTGATCAAACCAACAGGCTGGGTGTGAGAAACATGGCACCTGCACATCTTTCTGGGTTCTAGAGAAAATGCCTTATGCTTCCCACATGTTTAAATTAAGCTTTTCCCATTTACCAATCACTTTGGTCACTTCAAACCAAAGTAAGGGGCTGTAGTTGCTGCCATTTTAAAGCATCCGGGCCACATATGGGGCCCAAAGCCATTTTTAGGAAATGAAGATGGTGGGAAGCCTCAGCTTCTGCAGCATTCCTAGCCACCAAGAACTTGTAGTAGAAAAGGAAACTCCTATTTCATCAGTCTGGTAAATTGCAAGGAAGAATGGAAGCAGGGCTAAGGAGAGCATGGACTACGCAGGGCAGTGGTAAGTCAGGGAAACCAACAGGAAGCCAGTGGAGAGAGCAATCTGAAAGCAGTTGCAGGGGCTGGGAAAGGTTGTGTCCTGGTAGGTCAGAAGACTGTGGGTTTATATGGACTATATGTTTTGAGAGAAAGCGAAATGATTTAAGCATGATTTTTGCAAGTAAGACTGAACTATGATTTATTTAACTTGCAGTTTGCTTCCCTAACCAGGGTTTGACTGGCAGAAAATCAGATAAATTTTGCTATTTTCAATCCCATGGAGAAGCATGTGAACAGAGCACCTATCTGAACTCAGGACACAAGGTGTGATACTATGCCATGCAGTTGACATGCGGTGAACACACTCTTAGTCTGGCTGTCAGAACAGCCCTGTGAGGTGGATTAGGCTGATAGCTAGTGAGCTGTCCTAAAGGACTTACTATGGTTTTTGAGTTGCACTAAACCTAGATCTGCACAGTCCAATGCTACACCATTCATTGACTATCCCACGCCCCGAGGTTTCGGCAAGGGGCGGCATAGAAATGTTATAATAATAATAATAATAATAATAATAATAATAATAATAATAATAATGTCTTCATCAATCACGACAAAACAAATGAACAATGTGCAATCCAACAAAGCTATAAATAAAGGCTGTTTGTAAGGGTATGAAATTATGCCAGAACCAAGAGTCATTTTCTTTTCAGTTTACTGAGGCAAGCAAGTATGGAGCAGTGGTTAGAGTTCCGAGTTGTAGGCCCACATTTGGTCATGAAGCTCACTACGTGATTTTAGGCCAGTCATTGAGTTTCAGCCTACAAAAGTATGAACAGAGTCATTGTGAGGATAAAAGGCAGAGGAGGGGGATCCTATATGCCACTTCGGGTTCCTTGGAGGAAAACAGGTGATATAAGTATAACTAAGGGAACAATCCAATGCATGTTTAAACAAAACCAAGTCCTACAATTTCCAGCAAGGCCTTGTTAGGGGACGGGCTTGTTTCTTTCAAGGGCCCCTTTCCTGCCTAAACATGTACAGGATTGTGTTTTAAATAACTAAATTTACCACAAACCTCAAAGAGGTTCAGTAAGCCTCTCGTATTGGGACGGATGACCAGAAGGAGTTGTGAAGAGGTGTAATGTGTGAACTGTTCCCAGTGTCCAGTGTGCAGTGTGGACATTAAGTGTAGCCCCAGATACTCATTAGGTTTAATTTCTGTGAAAAAACTGTAAGGTTTCAGTAAGAGATCATGATTACTGGGCACTGTTAATTCCTCACCTCATCCTTGAAATAAGGATGTTTTTATTGAAGCTAATTGGGATAGCTGGGCCTTCTCCCTTCCCTTGTCTCCCAGGAAGTTGGCCTAGACTGTGTAAACTGACAGCCTCTGAAGCAGCGGAAGAGAGGCACTACACAACATCCATGGCAAGGGGCATTGTTGTTCGGCTTTCCACTTGGAACCATGAATGCATGAGGTGTCCAAGCAACCAGAGCTCCAGGAGCAACGTCTGTCACATCCCAAAGCACTGTTACTAATGGGATGTCTGTAAGCTTTTCTTTTGCTTGATTATTGATAATCTGGATCCATACTTAATCCCTATATGTATTCAAAGTGACGTAACTTGCCTGGATCAGGACTTTGGGGCTAAAACATTTACCTAGTATGGTACAAATTGTTAATATGGTTCCATTGTTCCCATTACTATGGCAAAGGATATAAAGAATTCTCACAGATTAATTATTAGAAAGATTCCTTCCACTGTACTTAAGTTCACACAAGCCCTGGAATGTTACTCAGACATCAGAAAGCTAACATTTCATTTTTACTTTCAATGATTATTCTATAACAACATAATGAATTCAGTACCTTTCTATACTCCTGAAGAACTATTTGGATTTCTTTCAGTTTAGGATGGTCAGGTAGGAAATATATTTCATGCAAAAAGTCTTGTACTGCATCCCTGATCAACAAAACAAAAATCTATTACAAATATATATTGTTTTAGAACCACAGTGCAATGAATACACTAAATACACTAAACTGAGAGGAGATAGACAATGGTATGCTCCTAATCCCATGACAACAGAGTGGTAAAAGGGAGGATTTGAGAACAGCATTTGTTACACCTTTCCCCACAGAATACCCAAGGAATAAAAGACACAACAGAAAATATGCAATCCACATAACTGAAAAGTGTATAGAAAACTGTAAAGATTGGGTGAGGGGCTTTAGGATGCACAAAAGCACTTATCTGGCCTCTCCATATGATTACCAGAATAACAAAATTATCACAATAACAACAATTCAGTGAAGCTGTTATGGAGGATGGGAGGATTATGGGAACAAAAGCCTGCACTTATCCCATGCTGCAAAACACATACATGGCCAATTTGGCCAAGTGGTTTTCCCAAAGCATGAAGAGGCTGAGGCACTGTCAGAATGCTTCATGTGTTCATAGTGTCCATCTCCTCTCCTTCCTGTATTCCTGAGATGCCTACAAGATCCACCTGAGGTTCCATTTGTGATCTCTGTGCTGCAGCTGGTGCAGTTCTTTCTGCACCAGGAGCTAGGCTGGAGGGAAAGCATTCCAATTTTGGAGCCTCAGTTTTGATAACAGATATAATTTCCAAGATTGGAGCTATGGCTCTGAATAATTCTATGCTCTTGTACACTCTGTCTAGCAGCCATAGGATTTTGTCCTATATTATGTAACACCTCAAATGTAAAATATAACACAGAGAAAATTGCAGAATTATTTTCAATTTGTATAGTTTATAAAGGTCATGGAATACAAATGCCCTGGGTACATAATTTTAAATATCTGTTTGCCTAGAATAAATGCTCTCCTGCAGCCAGAATGCACGTAAGGAATCTCCTCAACATTACTCCTCTGTGGAATGCTGTCACAAAGAACATCCAATTGGCTGCTTCAGTCCTGGCACTGAAAAAGGCTTTAAAACCTCCTCCATTTCAAGTAACATTTAACTGACATAATTCTCTTGGACAGGCTCCTAATTTATAGCTGCAATTGAAGAAAGTATGTTTTGTGCTGGCAAAAACACAAGTATTTATTCCAGTCGGGTTTTAATTGAATATTCACATGTCTAATATATGTTTATTGCAATTTTATGATTATATTGTTTTTCACTGGCTTGAGAGGACCTTGGGCACAAAAGTGACTTACATGTAAAATAAATCAATAAATGCTTTACATTTCAATACCTGTTCTCAACTATAAGAAAATTGAAGATTGCTGCTGTTTCATTTGGTTGAATATGTATGAGGGGCAGCAGAGCTACTATCACATGACTGAGAAGGGAGCCAAGATGAGATTGGTCCAAGCATCGTACAAAACAGTCCCAAGCCCTAAATAAAGACACACACAACAATAACAATATAAAATCTTATACAGATTAAAATAAGTCATTAATATGTCTGATGTATGTATGATATTAAACATAATATGTCTGAAAGAAGGCATAGAAATAAACTGTTGTTTCAGTACATCATTTTCTTACTTGCAGCACAACTCTGGGAAATCATCCTTGTATCTCAGCCCTGTCCTGAGTGTGGTCATCATCTTCACTCTCACTGCACTAATATGCTTGAGACCCATAAGCTTCATTAAAGCCATCAAACTATTTAAGGCCTACAGGTGAGAAAAACAACTTGCTTTAAACATCAATCAATTTGTATAATAAAAGTCTGCATGTTAACAGCTGCATATTCCCTACCGAAAAATAGCCAGGAACAGGATTTCTATTTTTATCAGGCTTCATGATGTATGTCACTGATTCATTTCTTTCTTGATCTCAGACTTACAATGATGGGGGTTTTACAACTAATCCTTAAGTCTGCCAAAGTTTTAATCTGATATATTACATTTCCTATAAGATCCCCAAGAATGCTACCCACACTCTAATTGTTTGTTCAATCCCACCTATTACTGTTTTATTTCTACAGAGATAGGGTTAATGAGGGTCCTGAGCCTAGTTTCTAGAGCCATTTTGGGTGGAAGCATTTGGAAAAGATTAGTACAGGCAAAAGTAATCAAAGAAGTTGACATTAGGAAAAACAAATGAAACTTCAGAGAAAATCCTGGGATGCGAATTCTTTTAGGCATTGCCCTAGTGTTAACTGGCAGTGTTAACTGGCAGACAGTCTAACTGGTCAGAGTGTACATGCTACCTTCAAGCATCCATGGCTCAAATAACTACCTCATACAGACCTTGTTGCTAATGTTAGTTAACCTTTTGGCCTTGATATGTAGCAGAATGACAAATAAATAAATAAACAAATAAATTCCCAGAAACAAGTGAAAGCTCAACATGTACTTGTGTATGGTTTCCCTTTGACAGAAAATTTACTCACCATTTTCTTATCCTCAATTCCAATACTGGAGCTCAACAACTGCATGTTGAAGAAGGCCAAGATACCCAGTAATTTTGGTTGCAGATAATCAGCCTATATATTGATTAAAATAATACCCTGAGATTATTTTGAACTATTTTAAAATATACTACTAGTAAGTTAGCAAAGCATGTTCACTCCTTAAAGAGAAAAGTACACTTGGTTTCTATTCCAAAACCAAAGTTTAAGTTGAAGTATTTTGCTCTCTCAATATTCTACTGACTATGGAGGGAATAGTGTAAGAACCAGATAACAAAATCATTTTAATCTGTAGGTACAATCCAGCTTTCAACACTTAGAAAACTAGGCTTTCTCTAAATGGCTCGCATATGTTCATCAAACAGTTAATGCTTTCAAATGTAGCCAGTCCGGTAGTGAAGTCAGGATTCTGCAAGGACTCAGCATTTGTACTTTTTTTATTAGCAGGGATGCTGACATCCTCGGCCCTAAGCCTCAAAATTCCCTCTTCCTTTTGAGTTTAGCAACAATCCTCATGGTAGCTGGTGGGAGGGGAATGAACCCCTCCCATAACAATATATTGTTTCTTGTTGTAATACAAACTACTTTAGGGTAATTTTGAATGTGCAATTAAGGCTAATTCACTTTACAAAAGATGAGGCTGTCACAAATTGGTTTGCTGATATGGGCCAACACAGCTGTCAGAACTGTGGATTCTCTTTGCGAACATAGCTATAGGGACTAATATGCTGTTTTGCAATTAGCAAGGCTAATCTGGTTGGGATATAGGAAAACAATGCTAAGAAATGTTTGTACCCTTTACTAGAATATACCAGTATTGGAGAGAGTGCCACCTCTACAGCAAACAGCAACAACTAGGAAGTGGGTGTTTATTAACTCAGGCAAATTTCTTCATAAGACCCTCAAACCCATTTCCCAAAACACAATGAAGTGCTTTTGTATACTTAGAAAGGTATACATAATTAAAAAAACTTCTATCCCCTTCTTCTAAGTGGCACAACATAAACTTACCATTCGCTCAGGAGATGTGATGTCCCTGGGTCCTTGATAGGAGTCATCATTTGAAGCAAATGAAGCCAAAATTGATAAACCATTGAAGACCTGCTGATAGTGTTCTCCTAAGCGTAGCAGTAATTCATTATGCAATCCTTGATAGTCCTGTCTCAGCAAACTCCCCAGTTCTATCTCTGTTTCATTCTATAAACAGAGGTGGGTAGTAGGAGTGGTGAGGAATAACTTGATGATATATAAGCAATGCACAACACAAAAATATTAAACTAAAGAAATCCTACTTGACTCAAGCATTCCTGGGCATGGAATAGTTACCTACTATCAGTCAAATGGAAATTATTACAGCTTTCTGGAAGAAAATGTGTTCTCAAAATCCATCAGTAAAATAAACTTGGTACATGAAATGGTTTTAGTTTTTAAGCCAGAAGGGGAAAAAAAACCCAACCAGAAACTGTTGATTGAGGGCTGTTTTCAGAGATGAATAATGCTATCTTTATTTGTTTTTGTACAAAGGAAGATCCTAGGTTATCTTAGGTACACCAGGATGGTTCACTATGCTTGCCATGAATTCTTAACTTAAGGGTCACTTATTTATTTGTATTAATTTATTAGTGTCCGATCGCAGCAATTCTCTGAGCAGTCAAGTTAGCTATTATCTGGGTCTAGGTTAGAGTTTTTCAGAAGAGGCCTCATTACTTCCTCCTTTAAAGAGGCTTGCATCACTCCCACCCTCAGAACCTCATGGACTCAGCTAAATATCCATTTCTTATTAGATATAATAAGCCATGAAGGGCAAGGGTCAAACAAATTAGTGGTTGGCTGGAGTTGACCAAGCCCCTTGGTCCACATCCTCAGGCCTCAACATTTACATTTCAACTCTCAGTTGATCATTTTCATTGATCCAAAAATTCAAGCACACAGCTAAAAATTACCTTGAGGTAGTGAAGTGCTCGCTCCAGCTCATCTTTACTACAGAAGCAGACTAAGTGAGAAAAGATGTATTTGAAGTTGTTGATGAGGATCTCTCTGCGGTTTACATTTAGTTGCTTTGCTACAGTTCTGATAAGCACAGAGGCTGCAGCACTAGCCTTGGCAGCAAGGTCAGGCAAGAGAACTTGGAGAATCCGCTAGCAAAATAAAGCGATAGTCACTTTGAAAATGCTTGAAATGAAAAGTTCTAAGCTAAACTTTCCCAACCTGATGCCTACCAGATGTGCCGGACTGTAATACCCACTGGCCCCAGAGATCATGGCAACTGAGCCTTCTGGCTTGGGGTGATGGATACAGTAGTCCAGCACACCTGAAGGGAAGGCTGGCTTATTATTATTGTTCAAGTTATTGCTATACCACCAAATACTGAAGTTTGAATAATGAGCTTACAACTCATAAAATACAATAAAAACAATATAAAGACAGATAACAATAAAATAATACAATTTCATTATACAATTTAAAAACCAAACTTAAACAGCATGATAGCTAATTCGGATTAAAAATAAACCTATTAAACAGCTGACATAACCCCTCCCCCCATGTGCTATTTAGAGCTGTTAATGCCTTGGCAGTCTTAACCTGGTGCCAAAAAGATAATAAAGTTGGCACCTGGAAGATCTCAGCAGGGTGCGGGTTCTATATTTCGGGGGTGGATTCACCAGTGAGAAGCTCCCCCCCCCCCCCGTTATCAACAACCAGACCTTTCTTGGAGGTAACAATTGGAGGAAGGCCCTGAAATTGATCACAGTGTCCAGGTAGATGACAACTGGGATGGAGTTACATCATGTATTCAGTCCCAAGCCATGTAAAGCTCCATTGGTATGAAAAATCAGGCATTCAGCTATTTTTCAGCAACCCCAAACAGCTAAGACTTCAAAAGCCCTCCAAGCAATAAGTTTAACTGGTCAAGTTAACCTTGAAAGGGGATAACATGACCCTGGACTTCTCTCATAAAACTGCAATCGACTGAAGCAGTGCACACTGAGATTTTGATGGTTAAGATCAAACTAGATATGATTGGGCAGCCCCATATATCCATGCATGTGTTTTGGGGTGTTTACAGATAGAATAACATGTGGTTGTTACATCATGTCAAGTTTGGTCACTCAAGTACCGCTCCCCAGGTTTCAGGGTTAGAGCTCTTCTGGATTAGTTTTCCAAAAACAAATTTTACTCCTGAAAACCTGTGTAAAAACCAACTGCCTATCCAGTAGGTGGTCGAGGGCTTCAAATAATCTCTACTAGAGTTGAAAGAAGTATTTTACAAAATGCACTTTACTCCAGATTCAAAAAAATCTTCCTGGAGAAACCTGGCAGAAGGCTTGTCAAGACCGAGGGAAAGGCCTTGGAGGAAAAGGCATACCTCTTTTCACCTTTCCTTTCTTTTTCAAAAATGAACACATGTGGGATCCTGGAAGACCATATATAATAAAAAATCTATCAAGATAAAGCTTTATGAATCCAGAATGATGCATTAGAAACCCCAGGAGATAATACATACAAACATAGCAGGAAATATAGTATCATCAACTCACATTGAGAAAACGATTGAGGTCTGGAAAATCAAAAACATTGGCAATTTCTGATAACATGTCCAAGGCTGCCTCCCTTTGATGTGCAATCTCTTGTTTCTGCATTTGGCAGGGAGTGCTAGAAATCATTGCCATTTGATTGGAGTGTAGAGATTCCACTAGAAACTAAAGCATCACAGTGTTACTTGTGTCATACAGAATAGCACTCCAGATACTTACTGTGAAAGGCTATTTTGGACTGGTGGGAGTGAGACACCTAAGGATTGTGCCACCTTCTGTTACTGCCCAGCAAGGCAGGGATCACATGAACTGAGATTGTTGACCAAAACCCTGATCCTCCAGCTCTGCCACCAGTTTCCAAGGCCAAGCTTGAAACAAAATACCAATCAGTCTGCACAGCAGAGGATTCAGAGCAAATACCTGTCCCTGAGTGTATGTGTTCTGGAATGGAGTCTGAGGTATTAAGGCAGATAGTTGTGACAAAAGATAGAAATCCCCAAACTTATTGAAACTGCAAGTCACTCAGTCCAGATGATATCTATCCTAGAGTTTTCAAACAATTCAAGCATGAAATTGCTGACCTTCTTACCATGACATTCAATATGTCCCTAAGATCAGCTCTTGTACTGGAGGACTGGAGAATGGCTAATGTAACACTTATTTTTAAAAAGGGATCCAGGGGGGATCCCTCACCAAAGGCTCCTGAGCAAAACGAAGCAGTCATGGAATGGGGGGGAGGGGGGTCCTCTTATGAATCACTAACTGGTTAAAGAACAGAAGACAGAGGGTGGGAATAAATAGCAACTTCTTCCAATGGAGAGATGTTTCCAGTAGAGTCCCACAGGGTTCTATATTAGGACCAATGCTCTTCAACCTATTCATAAATGATTTGGAATTAGTGAAATGTCCAAGTTTGCTGATGACGCTGATCTTTTTAAGGATGGTTAAAACCAAAAGGGAATGTGAGGAATTCCAGAGAGATCTCTCCAAGCTGGGAGAATGGGTCTCAAAATGGCAAATGCATTTCAATATAAGCAAGTGTAAAGTAAAGCATGTTGGGCAAAAAATCCCAACTTCAAGGATACACTGATAGGATCTGAGCTAGCAGTAACTGCAAGAAAGGGACCCCCTGTCATTCTACTACAAGCTTTTCAGTTTGGAATATATTTGCCATGGCCGTAGAATTCTGCTGTTGCAGGGCATTACTGACTGAGCAAGAAAGGGATCTTGGGGTAGTGGTGGACAGCTTGATGAAAAAGTCAATATGCAGCTGCTCTGAAAAAGGCAAACTCCATGCTATGCATAATTAGGAATGGGACAGAAAACAGGACTGACCATCTCTTACTCCATTTATACAAATCTATGATATAACCTCACTTAGAATATTCTGTTCAGTTCTGGTAGCCTCACCTGAAGGAGGACATTATTGAGTTGGAAAAAGTACACAGAAGGACAATGAACATTTGATAAGAGTGCTGAAGCAGCTTCCCAATGAGGAGCAGCTACAATGGCAGATACTGTTTAGGTTAGAAAAAAGCCAAATAAGGGGAGCTATGATAGAGGTATTTAAAATAATGCACAGTGTACAGAAAGTGGAGAGCAACACATTTTTCTCCCACAACACTCAAACCCAGAGTCATTCCATGAAGCTGACTGGTGGGAAGTTTAGGCAAGATAACAGGAAGTTGCAGTTCACCCAGAGTATAGTTAAACTATGGAATTCACTGCCACAGGAAGTGGTGATGGCCACCAATCCAGATGGCTTTAAAAGGAGACTGGACAGATTCATGAGGGAGAAGGCTATCAGTGGCTACTAGCCTTGGTGGCTATGTGCTACCTCCTTTACTAGAGCTGCCACACCTGCATACACGAGTTGCTAAGGAGCTTGGGCAGCAGGAGGTCTTACACCCATCCTGCTTGAGCAATCCTGTGGGCAATTGGTTTGTCAACATGTGTAGAGAGTGCTGGACTAGATGGGCCTTTGGTTTGATCCGGTTTCACTTTCCTTATATTCTTAATAATACAGTTGTATGAACAGGATGAAAGGGAAGATTTCAGACATGGTAGCCTAATAATCAAAATTAAATGAAATGCACTCCTGTGTTGTTACACTCTTACCTGACATATAGGTTTCTTATACTGACTGAAAAAGACTTGTGGTTTCACAAACTTGGCTGCAGCCAGAGTTCTGATTTCTGTATATGCTGCTCCAGCCACGGAAGCTGACTTGGACAATAAGCAATGCAACAAGTGCAAGAGAGCAAAGCGCACCAAATCCCCCTTTGCAGCCCTTAAAAAGGAAAATATAGAAGATTTTATCAGAATGCAACACTAGGAGAGTGATTCTGTGGCTCCTAGACAGTGTCTAGGGGGCCATAGGATACTTCAGAGTCTCAGATTCAAAACTGGAAACAGAGCTCCAGCCTTATCATTGGGAATCCACATTCCAATCCTCCTACTCTACTCTTGTAGCCAATGAGGAAAGAACTATGCTTCCTGCTTCTCCAAGGTTAGAACGGAGAGGGGGTTAAGGGAGTGGACTGGAACCACAATGATACAAAATGCCTCAACTTTGGAGAGTGAAAGCAGCTGTCTAGCTGAACTGCATAACATGAGGTGTGGGAGAGCAAGGACAGTCTGTGCTGCTTCCTCTGCTCTGCACTGGATGCTCATAAATCTCCAAGTCTCATGGTTCACAAGCATCAAGACTCCAGTTGAAAGGACTGTGCCCAGCACACTAAGGATAATTCATGAAACAGTCTCATTTGCATTATTCAGCAAATGCAGCATCATATACTGAATATTGTTCTTGCATGTAAAGTCTCTGAAATCAAAATACTTATGGAATATTAGAAACAGTGACACTAAAATGTACCTTCCAATATCTCCTGTGGTGAGAATTAATGTATCCTTCAGCTCACTATTTCTTGATATCTGAGCATTTGTATAGGCTGCTTTCATTCTGGAAACAAAGAGCTGAAACAGAAAATTTGAACAGATTGTACATGTTACTACAGTTACATCTTGAAATAACCCTGTACTTCTTGTGGGCTTCCAGATACTTAAGAAGTTCACCTCTTTGATGAATCCTTCCTCAGAGCCTGAAGAATCTAGTATATATTTGATGTGGCAGCTAAAAGCCATTCTTACTTCTTTATCTGGATCTTCCATTAGCTTTAGGAAAGCCTCAATTATAGCTTTTACATTTAACTCATCGTTTCTGAAGTCCAGATGTTTACAAAGTAGGGGAATGTTCTCTATTAACACTGTAAGATAATGAAAGGAATAGGAATATATTCAATGCTTTTAGCATATGATCAAAGTTCATATTATTTATTTTAGGCTTTTTTAATGCTGCTCTGAAGCCAAAAATTATTCCTGAGTGGTTTACATAAAATAAACAGGACAGTCCATGCTCACAGGTTTACAATGACAAAAACATGACACACAAGGCAAAAGAGATCAGAAAGTAAAAGGGAAAAGTAACTCTTCCAGCAGGAATGAGGGAACACCTGTTTCTCCCTCTCATCTCCTTTTGTAGGGCCTGTGGGAATGGCTAGCGGTGGTAACAAAGGGAAGAGAACCATTCACAAGGGAGGTCTTTTGGCAGGAATAGTGGAATGGCTCAGCTCTCCCTCTCAACTTCCTCATTTCAGCTTGCTGGAATGGCTGCAGGTGGAAACATAGTGCAACACTACATTCATGTGTCTCAAAGATTTTCAAATACTCAGTGTTTAGAATTCAGGATCATCCCAAACTGCAATTGTCCACACAATATGGTAATAGAAAGCTTAAAACTCTTTATCAAGTTCAGTCACAAAGGCTCAGTTTGCACACAACTTTAAATCAGTCTTTAAATAAAAAGAAGGAAAACTTGCCTTATCATAAGCAATCCAGCGTGCTTGTGGCACCACTCAATTGCTCCTGCTTGACTCCCCTTGCCTGTGAAAGCAGCTAAACAGGCCTGGGACTGCTATGTTACTTGGTTAGCACTATGCCCAAGCCCAGAACTTTGGTTTCATTTTTCCCTGACAAATCTGAGTTATTTTCCTGGATTACAACTCTCATTTCCTGGAAAGACAACCCAGAGTTCTGGGTTCAGACGTAACATTATCCAAGCTAGAGACTGTAAAGCCCTGGTTTGTACAGCCTCTTCTTGCTGACAGGAGGCGCTAAGCAGCACCAATGAGGCTGCAGAGACTAGCAAGCTCATCACTCACAGAAGCCCAAATTTTAAAAAAGCTACTGAGGTTGCCACCCTGTGCAAATCATGCTAATATGTTTCCCCAAAATTCTCAAATGCTGTTTGAAAAATGAGTTGTCATGGGGGGGGGGGTAGTCACAAAGGTGCAACAGCTCTTCCCTCACCCCAAGAAGTGCACTGATAAATGAACATGCTCACTGCTCACAGAGCACTAAGTATTGTGAGGAGAGGGAGAAAATGGGGTACCCTGGCAGAAGACTCAGCTGCATGGCTGGAACACTGAAGAGGAACATTCCACACTGCAGTATTATGATCCTGATCCCACTTGAAACAATGTGCAACTGGGAGAAGAAAAGTAAAGTAAGAGAAGTATGCTCAAAGTAACTTACCAAGCTTTACTGAACTAGCTATGTTGCTTTCAAGAAGATTTAAAAATGGCTTGAACACTTCAGCCTTCACTGCACACATTTCTGTGTGAGAAGGAGCCACACTAAATCTCTTGCAGAGGATGTCACAGCTTTCGGGCTGGATGTCAGGTTTGGTTAAAGAAGGTCTTAAAATAAAGTTGTCAGAAAGACAGCAAGCCAAACTTCCAATGATACTGGCATAAGCTTTCTGGACTAATAGAGATTCATCGTGTATGCGGTCCCTGAAAAATATAAATATATTTACAGTGCCTTGTTCTGCATGAGCTGTAATAGCATTTTTGCCAAGCTGGTTATGCTTCAAAATTCAAATCCTGGCTCAATAGGCTAAAATATGCACAAGCTTCATGACCCTGTATGCAGCAGCTTTGCTTCTGTTTCACTTCACCCCTCATATGAGGGAGAAAATGAACTAGGAAACTACAGCAGGCATAAATCTACACAGGAAAACCTGTGTCAGAGCCTGAGTGACCCTGAAAGTGCCTGCAGACAGGCAGCTGAGGAACAATTATGCCATGCAGCTGGAGGCCCTGGAGACTAGCATAAAAGGCTTCACTGCACTTTGCTCTTTGCCACAGCAACACAAGCTGTCCTGGTGACTCCCTCATGCTCTGGCTTCCTGTATCACCTCACCTGCATTCTGGTTCCTGCCTTCCTGACTCCTGCCCAATTCCAGCCTGATCCTGCCTCCATCTTTGTTTCCAGTGTGCCCTGTCTTCCCAGGTATCCACACCAATCCTTCCTGACCTCAGCTTACTCTAGAACATGACTGTCTTTCTGGAAATTGACCTTTGGACTGTGCTTTTGGACTGTGCTCTTGGATTGTGTAATTTTGGACTCTGTTGCTTGAACCTGCTGTCTTACTGGCTTTTGACGCCGAACTGTTAAACAAGTGTGCCTTTTGCCTCTGAACCCACTCCAGAACTCTACCCTGCACCTACACCCTGGTCTTGATGTCCCAACCACAGTGCCCTGTCGCCCATGCCCTGGACCTTACAAATGCCTTTCAACCAAGCCAGGATATGACTTCATTGTTTAAGGTTAGCTTCCGGATTCTGGTTTGTTTGAAAAGTTCATATGTAACAGGAAGCTATGGTTAATCTGCTCACTCATATGAAAGAACAATAGGAGCTGCATGTGGAAGCATAACACTTGGTCAGATCCCTGCTGATTAAGGAAAGTCCAAGTTGTATCAGAAAGTGTGGCCTAATATACCAGTGTTCCAATCTGCATATTCATGCACATGTTTCAATATTCTAACCCATGTAAAATGTATGTATCTGTGTGTACCTCTCCTTAAAAAAAAGCTCTTCAAATTCTTGACCCATCCTTTCCCTTACCTTAGAAACCATAAGGGGATATCTCTTGAAATCAAGACTGTATGCAGATGCTATGTTAAATCAAATAAAAATATTTAAAAACATGGCTATCACTCCTGCCATTTGTCTAGCTATACATGCACTATAAGAGAAGGAAATTGGGGGAAGAAACCTCCCTGGCTTCCATAACCACTAGAGAACATGGCAACCTTATCTCTCTAAGAACTCAAAGTGAATCACCACTAGAGAAGAAACAGCGGGGGAAGGGGCAGATATGCTGATAGAAATCAGTACAAGTCTGGCAACAGACAAGTATTTCCAGGTAAGAGTTGTCTCCAACCACCTTAGTGTATGTTAAGAAAAGGAGGTAATCCACTAGATTGCTCGCAATTCAACTCATGTACTTCAGGACTAGTGACATACAGGGAAAGGGGATACAAGCCCATCCTCAAATAGAGGAAGACTGAGGGATGAGATCAGAGGAAGCTGCCATAACCCATAGCACATCCTATCACTAATCTTCACAGCAAAGTGAAAAGTCAGACATGAACAACTATATTGGAGTATATTTGGGGAAAGACTATATGGCATGGGCTCCCCTGCATTTACAGCCTCTACTATATGCTGTTGCAACAACCACACTACAAGATTCTACTGCATCGCTTAGCAGGCAAGCAATTGGCCTTTCCCCAAAGCTTGCTTGTTGTTGAAATAATCAAATAGTACATACATGCAAGGCGCAAGCAATGTGGTACAGGATTTAACATCTGATTGCTGTAGTAGGATAGGAAATCCTTTAACACAGTTAGCTCTGATAACTTCATGGGGACTCTGTAGCGAATGCTGATAAACAGAACGTCTCCACTTCAGATACAATTTCTTGGGAACCAGGGAAAGAAGAAACACACACTTCGAGAGAGTCTCAGGTGCTAAATGGAATGAAGAAGCACTGTAAGATCATGATTTAGGTTTATTCCGTTGACTCCTACTGATAGATCTCTCATCTTAGAATTGTTGGAAGTTCAGGAACTCAACATATATAATTTCATATGGAGAGTTCCGCAGAATAAATTTTTAATTTTAGTTAAATGGCTATGCAAGCCAAACAATTCATGCCACACAGCTGAGATTTTAAAATGTGTATTCCCATTCCTCTCCACCAAAAGATATATACTCAATGGAAAGCAACAGAGTTCTATAGACACTATGATCCACACCATGGTATTATCTTAAATTTGCTACAGTGTATCAGAGATGGGGCTTAAGAATGATTGGGCAACTCAGCTGGCAAAAAGCGCAGCAGCCAGAATATTGCTTGGGTGAAAGGAACATTCCTTAGAAAGTCCTAAGAACTGCACTAGACCCCAGCTGATTTCTAGGTACGATTGCTGGTTCTTCTAAACTAGCTTTCCATAATGTGTGGTGCCCTCCATATGTTAACCCAAATAGCATAGCAATGATCAAGAATGCTGGGAGTTGTAGTTCAAAATAACTGTAAGGCACCAGACTGGGAAGGCTGCTCTAAACGGCCTTATTCCCTGGCATAAACCTGCCTGAACAATGGCATCATCTTTATAACTCCCTCTTTAGGCCCCTTCATCTTTGAGGCAAATGGTAAACAAACAGAGGACTTTTTCCGTTATGGTACCCTGCCTTTGGAATGCTCTTCTCAGAGAGGGCATGGCACCAATTTTGATTCATTTTTAGTGCCAGTTCCAAGTGAAAGCATTTTTCATTTGTCCAGGCCTTTTAGATGTTTTAGTGTTGGACAATGTTTAATTTATCAGAAGCATTACATCTGAAGTTACTCTGGTTTAATTCTGATTTAGTGTAGGTTAAACTAATTTATTTAATATTTACTTCATTTTTATAGCTCTCAATAGTTAAGGTTCTCTGGGCAGTTAACAGAGGTTAAAATTAAAGAGAATTTTAAAAGACAGACACAAATTAATTTTAAAAAACAACACCATAACAGCAATTGTAATTGCTTTAATTCAGCATGGAATAGCTGAATGCAGAAGTCCATAATAAAATAAAATAGTTAAAAACAAAGTTTAAAAGTTAAATTATTAAAATACTGGAAAAATAAAAAGGTATTCACCTGGTGTGGAAAAGAATACAAAGTAGGTACCAATATTTATTTATTTATTTAGAATATTTATATGCCGTCCTTTTGCAGAGCCTCAAGATGGCTTACATAAATAAATAAGAAGAGTAGAATAAAACATAATACAAATAAATTCAAGATCCACCCTGGCTGCAGATTAGAACATATATAGCTAATATTAAAAGTTATTAAAATATTGTTGAAATAAAAAGGTCTTAGCCTGGCGCCGAAAAACAAATAATCACGGCGCCAGGCGGACCTCTCTGGGGAGTGCATTCCATAGGCAGGGCGCCACCGCAGAGAAAGCCCTCCTCTGGGTACTTTACCTCCTAATGTCTTTCACAGAGGGTTCCCGGAGGAAGGCCTCTGCTGCCAATCTCAGGGGGTGGGAGGGCAAATACAGAAGATACACCTCTTTTGGAAGCTGATTCCCAAACAGGGTGCCACAACTGAAAAGACTCTCTTTCTGGTAGCCACCTGCCTCACTTCCTTTGGAAGGGGCTCTCATAGAAGACTGGGTAGCTACATATGAGAGGGGGTGATTCTTCAGATAACCTGGCCTCAAACCATTTAGGGCTTTGAATGTTAGTTTGGCATTTTGAATTGGGTCTAGACTTCTGCTGGCAGCCAGTGCAGCTAGAAGAGGACTAGCATAATGTGATCTCTTCAACCAATTCCTATTAACAATCTTGCTGCTCTGTTTTTGGATCGACTAAAGTTTTTGGACCATTTACAAAGGCAGCTTCATATACAGCAAATTGCAGTAATCCAAATGAGAGGTTATTAGAGCATGGATAACTGAAGCTATGCTCTCTCTGTCCAGATAGGATCATGGCTGGTATATTAGCTTAAGCTGATAAAAGATGCTCTGCACCACTGAGTCCAGTTGTACTCAAGTGGCAACTCTGGCTCCAGGAGTAACCACAAACGATGAACCTTGTCTTTAGGGGGAGTGAAATCTCATCCAGAACAGGTTGAATATCACCCAACTGGGCAGATGAACCATCCACCAATAGCACCCTAGTCTTGTTTAGACTGAGTCTCAGTTTGTTGGTCTTTATCCAATCCATTAGCATGTTCAGACTGATTCAGAGCAGCCACTGCCTCACCAGGATTTGATGAAAAAGAGAAGTAGAGCTGAGTGTCATCCACATATTGGTGGCACCTCAGCCCATATCTCCAGATAACCTCCCCCAGAGGTTTCATGTTGATAATAAATAGCATAGGGGATAAAACAGAACCCTGTATTACTCCCTGGCATAACTACTATGGTGCAGAGCAGTAACGTGCATGCCCACCCCCTACCCCCCCAGCACCATCTTCTGGAATCAGCCAGTTAACTAGGAGCAGAACCACTGCAATGCAGTGGCTCCTACTCCTAATCCAGCCAGCCTATCCAGAAGGATGCCACGCTTGATGGTATCAAAAAGCCACTGAGAGGTCCAGGAGAATCAACAGGGTTTCAGTCCCCCTGTCATTCTCCTGGCAAAGATCACCCCACAGGGTAAACCCACTGGAAAACCACCAGGATGAATGATGGGGTAAAATATTTGAATTAAAAACTTTTAAAATACAAACATACACACAACTGTTTACTTACAAAAATGCCTTGCAGTATATTGGCTCACGGCCAGAAGATCCAAATTAAGTGCAGGCAGCACAAAGAGAGAGTCAGAAGAGTGGTTGGAAATCCATGGCAGAGATAGTATTCCAAAGAGGTTTTCCATCACCTCATCATTCAACTTGGTTTTAGCTTTTTCGTAGAACAGTGTGAGGAAAGAAAAAAAAGCATGTTCACCAATTTAATTCAGAGGGATTATAAAAAACTAGTCTTCCTCAATCTTGTACTCTCAAGATCTTTTGGATTTTGGCTGCCATCAGCTCCAGTCAGCACGGCTAAAGATTAGGAATGCTGAGAACGGTAGCCTAAACCATCTGGAGGGTGCCATGGGGGTAGCCTGAAACAGATGCACACATTTCTAACAAACAGGAGGGCCAAACAGTTTAAACTAGGTCATAGCTCCATGATCATACATGTGCTTACTATGTCTGTAGTCCCAGGTTTAACTCCTGGCATATTTAGCTTAAAGGATTCCACATACCAAGGTTGAAAAGAGCCTGCTTTAAACACTGTAAAATTATTATTAATTTAGTGCTTGATAAGGTAGACCTAAAGACTGATCCACAATTAGGGAGCTTAGTATTTTCATATGAAACGCTAAGATTTAATGCACTATGAAAACACGGTGTGAATTGCTATTAATTTTTAAGTTTACAAGTGAACAACTACTGATATTGTCTCACCTTGCATGTAAAGTAAAGCATCAGTTATTTTCACCACTCTTTGAATCACTGGTTCTAGATCAGTGATCTGTGAACCAGACTCTAAAAGTTTCCAACAAACTTGTATTGCTCTCCTGATAAAGTCTGAAGAAATCCACATTAACTGGATATGTTTTCTTGATTCTGAAGGCCAAACAGTATTATTACATTCATGACTCTGTGCATTACATAGATGAGCAACTGGACTATCTACACTGTAAAGAAAAAGAATGAGAAATCATCTGGTTGCAGAAACAGCAAAATTAGATGCCTAAGTTCAATACCACTGTTGGCACATTTTAGAAATGAAGACAAACCACTTTCCAGATTGGCAAACATCTGAAACAACCCAGTCAATTTTACAACTCAATAGCCAAGATCTTCTACCACTACTGATTCTTGCCTACTGTATATTCCTCCCACCTGAACATATAAGAGGAAAATCCCCCACCAAAAATGCATAATTTGCCAAAATCAAAGCTGAACTAGCAATGAGGTATATGAGTGTTTCTATGCGGCAGTTGCTCAATTGGTCAGCTGATATCATAATTTTGTATTTAAAATTGCAGCAACCGAAACAAACAGCATGTAGATATTTACAAAAGTCACTTCACAGATACCAGCCAAATGTTTGTAAACTTACACAAGAAAGAAAGTGGTCACTTTGATGCTTTTACCTGTTGACATCTTGCATACAGTGTACTGTGCACAGAGCAGCCAGCTGGGCTATTAAAGCAACTCCATCTACAGCTTGCAGAACTTCCACTGGAAGAACATCTTGTTCCAAGAGCAACAACAAAGATTCTCCTTTCTTGCTTATGGCATTCCACAGTGTGCTTTTCAGTTTCATTTCCACAGGAGTGGGGCTATGAATCAACAGATTATTTTAGAACGTTTACTTAATTCTTAACTTCTGGACAGAGGATAATTAAACAATGCATCAGTTTCTAGGAAAACAAAGTGGCCCTCCTAACATTCAATGGACAACCTTACAGTACACATCAGATTAAATTGCAATAACATAAATTGCAACATGTACCACTCCAACAGAGGCATTATGTGGTTTCTGGCACATAAGGCAAGATGGGCTTTTGCATTTGTGTTATTCCTCACACCATCATTATGCTAACTACTACTCCAGCTTAAGCAGACAGGAACAAATGCAGGCCTGATAGCATGAAAAGTAATTCAAAGCCAAAAGAAGCGCATATAAAGCAAACACTCAGATAAGGCTTTAAAGAATATGGCAGTTCCATCATCTGCTGCATAATTAGTCCTAACCAAGTTTCTATAGAAATAGCTAGAGTGAAACACCATACTCTGGCGGCATTGAAGACTTTTTAGATTGCTTTAAGGACAGACTTAAACGTGGCTTTTTTCCTGGAACGTCATCATTACTGCTGCTCCCATCATCAGTATCAGACATCTCTGGATGTTTGCTAAACTTGAGTTCCTGGATTATCTCTGCTGCTTCGGTTTCCAAGGCCACATAAAGTGGACTTAGCAGATACTAGGACAGACAAAAACACACGTCTCAGTAGCACTGAATTAATTTCTCTTATATATTTATAAAAGGTCTTACAGCTTCAGAGATATGAATAAAAATAGGATCACACAACCAATATTTGGCTTCCTGTTTGCATTCTCTTCCTATCAGAATTAATTATGGATGCTTACATTGTTATTCATGTTCAATGTTTTAAGTCAACATTCTTTAATCTATGTGATACATAATTGTAAATTAAAGTTCTGCCATTGTTGTATTCTATTAAAGAAATACCTTTAAACTAGCAGTCTTCAACTATAGGCCCCAAATCTAGTCCCCTTAAATGTATTCACTAGGCCTAGTGCTGCCTATGTAGAGCAAGGAGTGTACTGAGAGAATGGCAACTGTTGCTTACATTCCACTGGGTGCAGGGAGATATGGGGCCCTGACCCACTTACCCTCCACCCTTTCCTCAAAAAGGCTTTCCCTTAATACTAGTTCACAACAAGGTCTTTAAAAAACCATCTGCCACCAATTGTGCTACACAGCTCTATTACTTACATGGTTCCATATTCAATGCTGCTGCTCACCTGATAGTTATCATTATAAACTAATGCAACACATTCTGTAAACCCACACCCATCTAATGCTTGTACATTTCTGAAAAAATTCTTTATGTGGGCCTTAACACTGTGTCTTTCAATCTTAACACAACAAGCAAATGTTTTTCCACAGAACTCACCTCCTGTTCTACCTGGCTTCCAATGACTGCAACGAAAGATCTACAGATGCTGTTAATACAGGTCCTCCTAACTGGAACAGCAGATTCATATCCAGCTGGCACAAACATCATGAAATACTGCAGTATGTGGCATAAAGCTACTTTGATCTTCTTAGACTGAAGCCTCAATGCATCAGCTTCAAACAATGTACGCAGCTTTTCCAGCAATATGTTCAAATAAACAGGTTCAATATTCTCATGGGCATGCATTTCAAACGGAAGTAAAGCTTTCACTAAGATTAACAGTGGATCCTCATAGAGGCCCAACTCTGCAGAATCCATTCCATGAATGGACTGCAGGATTCCAAAAAACATTGGGAAAAAACTGCTGGCTAGTTCTTCTGGAGGCCCCCCTAGCTGTACCAGTTCTGTTAAAAAGGTTATACTCAAAACTTTGACTTTTGGACTACCATACTCCAACAGGGAACATCCTATTCCCCAAAGGATGATATCCTGTCGTTTAAAAAACATATAAGAAACTATGTCAGTAAGAATTCTTATCAAAGTTATTTCCAAGCATTCCACATTGCTTATGTCCATTAACTGTAGCTGAACAGAACTTAAACAGCCCAGATGTACACTAGAGTTGCACAAAAATCTGTTCATAATCACAGGCCAACTCAATGTATTGTCCTTAGAGTGAAAGTCCACATTTCTTTCATGGAGTAAGATCAGATCTTGAAGAAGATGCAATAATTCTTTGGTCAACAAGTCAAATATGGTACAGTTTTTTACTTTGAAAAGGCACAGTAAAGAACAAATGACATTACTAATATTCTCATGTAAAGCATGGCAGTTTGGAGTGGCAGCAATTCTCAAAAGCCTTGCTATGATCCAGTTGCTGAATTCTAGAGAGGAAAAAAGAGAGGGCAGTTTGGTATGATTGCAAACCTCTGCTCATTGGACAGTGGAACATTTCCAGGTAAACCGGGATGTGGAGCTTGGGGCCCTCATGATGATGTTGAAATACAGTTCTAATCATACCTGACAACTGACCATGCAGGCTGGGGCTGATGGGAGATGAAGTCTAACAACATATGAAGGTCCACAGTTTCCCCTACTCTGGCATAAGCCCAGATATGAACAAGCTGAAAGTCTTTCAGTAGTTGATACACTTAACAGGTATTTTTATAAAACCATGTTGATTCATCAGTGGTTTGAGTAGGACTGGTTTTATTTTCCTCCTGGTTTCTTGCCATGTTACTGCTGATCTGGGTTGTTGCTATTCTGCTGCCTGCTTTTTATTTATTGGAAATTATATGCATGTGTGTACATATTGATTTTATTTATCCTTACAACAAACATGAAAATGAAACTACTAATATGTATAAAAGTCACAATAAATTATATATACACACAGGCTGCTTTTATTTCTTATTGTGATAATTTTGGAAGCCTAGTTGAATGCATATTGTTTCAGACAAAGACTCACTTTTATACTCAGTTTTCAAATATAAAAATGAATAAAACAGTCTTCAGTAAATGCTACATAGTTCTGAACTATGTTACGAGCTAACACCTCAGCTTTAACAAGTCTTTCATTCAATTCAAGTACCTCCCAATGACATATGAGATCAAACTATTCTGCTGTGACTACAGTGAGGCTTCTCTTCCCTTCCTAGTGGTATCCTCAAAATATTCAATTACCAGCTCCTATCTCCACAGAGATTTCCACCCCCAGCCTAAGTCGCTAATTATAGCTTTGTCTGGACTGTCAATTCACATCACAAGAATTTTCACATGGAAAAAGGTAATCCACACTGAGGATATCAAATTTAAGCCAGAAACCTCAGAGAACATGCAATCCTAAACATTTCTACCCAAAAGTAAGTCCCATTGAAGTCAGGTAAGAAGGCATAGGACTGCAGTGTTAATCTTTCTGATAATTTAGCTTAAAGTTGAGGAAGGTTTCAATTTTAAGTTTATAATATACTATTGAATTGGAAAGATGTTATTCTACTTCATTTCTGAAATTTAGTGAAGGTAACAACAATTCATTTTTATTATTATTATTATTATTTTTTATTATTATTATAACATTTCTACAGCTGACGGTCATCCATATAATCAGGGGTGGGGAAGCCCTTTCAGCCCAAAAGGGGGAAGCTCTTAGGTGCTGCATTACAGTGGTGGGTGAAGCTGAAAACCAAGTAGAAAAGACCAAAGGGAAGAGGGCTGGGCCAAAATTACTAACAAATCAGCACACTGCAGCTTAAAGCTTTTCCTGTTACAAGTGAAGCCTCATGTTTTTGAATGGCGGGACAACTGCATAAAATTTGCAGTTGATGCTTTTGAGTGAGACTGAGTATCTAAGTCCATTTCAGGCGATCAAACTAAATTGTGGCACAGAAATAGCTTTGGTCACCCTGCATGATGAACTCTGCTGGAAGGAAACAGAATGAGCATGACTGTGTTAATACTCCAGGATCTCTCAGTGGTTTTTGGTACCATCAACTGTGGTAGCTTTCTGGGGTAGCTATCTCAGTTGGAAGTGGTAAGTATTGCATTGCAGTGGTTCTGCTTTTACTTGGATTGTCAGCTCCAGAAAGTGGTGCTTGGGGAATTCTGCTTGGGCCTATGGACACTCCAGCAGGGACCACAGTAAGGCTATCATCTATGCTCTATGGCAGGGTATTTAATCAACTCTAAATAGTATCTTGGAGCATTATTTCAGCTGTATAGCACATCTTGTGCCCTAATTTGTTAGTTAATGTAGCTCTATAAATTCAGTTTTAAATCTGCCTTTTAAAATTTTTGTAGTGCAATGTTATAGTATTTTTACTGGCATTTGTATTTTTATTTTGCATTTTTATTGTATTATATGTCCTGCTGTAAACAGCTTCAGTTCTTGGGTGCTATAGAAATAATATCAATAATCATTGTGGGAAGATAGTGGGAAAGCAGCAGGGCCATCAGGAACCCAGGAAAGCCAGAGTCACCTGCGAGCCTGATAGTTACCACCTCAGGCTTAATCCTTTGCAGAGTGAATATCTGAATCCACTAAAGCTTTCTGAATTGCAAAGATTCAACAGAAATGTTTCTACAAACTCACCAATACAGCTGGCTTCTGCATCACTTTGCTGATGTGTTCCCGTTATATTTATGAATATAAGTGGGGATGATTTCATGATATGTAGAATAAAGTCAAGCAACATTACAGAACTTGGTTGAGACTCAGTTTTCTTAACAAGTTCTAGAGCCACTGAAAAGAAAACAGATTCATTTTACAGTACAGTAACCCTTCTGGTTCAAGACAATTAACATGTGTTTCAAGAGAGTACAACTGAAAAAGTATTTTTGAGAGTAAATTTTGTGTTTTTCATACATTCTGAACACCAAATCTTCCTCAAAGTTACAGGGAATTCAAATATGAACACTAAAAATTCCCATAGGAACCCCTAGCTATTTGTAAAGGGAAATTCCCTCCTGGTTCAAGCATATTCTGCATTCCAATATCACAATGGACCTCCACATGTGAAGGAAATTTTAAGCTTATATTTCATAAAAACTATAGTTTCCAGAGTTGTCTGAACACAGGAAATGGTTGCTGAAAGACCAGAGTATCAAAGCAAGAGCAACCCATTTATTAACTGAGACTGAGTCCTAAACACTACTATGCAAGGAATAAGCATCACTGAACACACTGTGGGGCTTCATTTTTAGTAAAAAGTGTGTAGAAACTGTATTACAATCATGAGGCTGCATTCATTGTTTGTCTTGACTAGAGCAAATCTACTGAAATGAATGAGATTTAATTAGCCATAATTCCCATTTTCCAGGAAAGTATGATTAACACTACACACAACCCCATGCTGCATATTTAGAGAGGAAAATGTCTTAAAACTCCCAGCATTCCCCAGCCAGCAGAGATGACTAGGGAATGTTGGGAGCTGTACTATGGTGTTTCTGTCTAAACATGCATAGGATTATATCCTAAATAAATTAAAATTTATTTAAGTCCCCCATGGACAACATGTCACTGAAGTCACAGATGCTGTTAACTTGTCTGGCCCCTTAGTAATTAGAGCCTTGTTTTACTCACCAACATCTACGTCCACTAAGATTCGATCAATGAACTGGCAGAGTATTTGTCTTGGCTTCTGTACCACAGTGCTGTATTCCTCTGGACTAGCACTAGAATGAGATTTATTTAAACAGTTGTATTTGTATTTCCACTTTAATATGTTGCAACTAAACCAACAAACAAAAAAAGACACCTTACTTTCTCAACCCCCTGCTATGGACTCAGTGTCATGATAAAAGACTCAGGCCATTCATGAATGAATCTTCCAAGTAAAATCTCTTGACCTACCAGCTAATTCTACAACTTCATCCCTGAAAAAAAAGTATTATCATACTGAAACCTATGGTTAACCTTCCACAACCTGGTACTTCCAAATATTTGGGGCTACGGTTCCCAGGAATGCTGACCATTAACCATGCTGACTGGGGCAACTGGAGTGGAAGTCCAAAACAACTCATGTTATATTGTGCATGATTTGATTTTGACTTCACATATAGATTAAGGTAAAGTCCTGCAGATTGCACCCTCAGTGTGTCCAAATCTCTGAAAGTATATGAACATCCAGTATAGTGCAGGAAGAGCCACAAAAGTAATCTCTGCCTGCATGTTCTGCTCTGTATTTTAGCTAGATGACCACTTTTGCCCATCTAGCTGAGGACATTCAGATGGACTGAAAGAGACTGGAATGACATCAGGAAACATATCCTGGAGGCCCCAGTCTTAAGTTTTTCCCCTCTCTGCCCTCAGAACACCCCATTTACCCTTCTTTTATATTTTTATTTTGCCTTTCGTCCTTCCAAGGAACTCAGGGCAGCTTACATAATTCTCCTCCTCCTGTCAATCTTATCTTCATAACAACAGACCTGTGAAGTAGGTTAGATTGAGACTGGGACTGGCCTAGAGTCACCCAGTTAGATCCATGGCTGAGTGGCGACTAGAACCCAGATCTCCTGAATCCCACTCCTGCACTCTTAACCACCACACTACACCTTTCCCTCTTCCGACCTTGAAGTTGCAGCCAGCATGAATCTTTCCACCCCAGCGGGACGGGGGAAGGTGATGCAGGATAAGTATGCTAATTCACAGTTTTGAGGTCAGAGCTCTGTCTCCAACTTGATATTTGTTCGTTCTTAGTTTAACTGACATACTTCCTATCCCTCTCTGGTCCCATCTTGGGAACTGTAGCTTAGTGCAGGATGTAAAATCTGTTCAAGACCGCTACACTCTTTTAGCCATGAACCTCCCTTCGATCATCTCTCAATCTAGCCTATCTCGCAGGTCTGCTGTCAGGATAAATGGAGAAGAATCGAGAACCAAGCATGTAACCTCGAACTCTTTGGGAAAACAGCGGAATATAAGTGCAATCAGTAAAGAAAAAAAATCATCCGCAGGGAAAGAAGAGAATCCAGGAAGAGCCTTGCAGGCAAGCGGCAAAAAGAAATATTTCCTACTCCCGGTATTTCGTCCGCAGACCTACCTGCTTAGTTCCCTGAGAGCTGGAATCATCGAAGCCATCTCCAACCCCTGGTCTGCCATTCTCACTTTCTATACCCTTCCCGCCTCCTCTCCCGCCAGCTCCCTTTCGACTTCACATCATTACCGCCTCCTTCTCTCAGCAAGCATGAATGGCAGATCTCGGATGGTGGCTGACTGACGCCAAACTTCCTACAAACGCGTTAACTTTTCTTCGTTCCTAGCAGCAGCAGCGCAAGTAATACGAATCTAAGTTCGTATTACTTATTGCCGCATTGCTGGTCAAAACACAATATCAGAGACTGGTGGTTATATTAATAGCTTCCTATGAAGTTGGGAAAGGCTGGACAGGGGAGAATATTGAAGCCAGATGCCAAAATAATTATAGCATGTAGGGCACAGTCCTACGCGTGATCAGAGAATAATTCTATCAGCATCAGCATCTCTCCAACTAGCAAGGAAGATGGAGTTGTAAGACTTTATTGTATCTGAACAAGTACAGGGTTGCGTCCTTAGCTAATAGCCTGCGCTTATGCGTTTTTACACGAGGTAGTGTCTATACTCACACGCGTTCCTTATTTTTTAGACGGCAATTTTGTGCATACTTGCCTAGAGGTCCCAATGTAACCCACATTACATTGAGTGCATTACTGCTCCTTCTGAGTAGACATTTATACATTGCATTGCATTGCGCATTGTGTGTCTGCCCCCCTCCAGATATTTTGTACTACAACTATTCGCTATGCTGGATGAGACTGATAGGCGTTGTAGTCCAAAACTGCTGCAAGACACGACTAACGTACCACGTCAGTAGGGCTGAAAGTCTGCGCACGTCTACACGGAATTAAGCCCTAACATGGGGCTTACTCCCAGGTAAGTAGGTATAATAGGACTGCAACCTTACCGACCGTGTCTATAGAACGGATTGCAGCCTTACTGGCAGCCTTTGTCTGCATCACAAGAAAGCGAAATAAAAGCTTTTCTTTTCTAGTCGCCTTTAGAAATGTCAGCATTCAGAATGCCAAAGGAAGAAAATAAATGTTGCTGGGCCCATTCAACAGCAAGCAATTAGTATGCAGCGCGTGTCAAAGCCTTCCAGGCAATCACGCCCTCTGCTCTCGAAGGGCCTGACCCAGCACCGCGTGCGGAAAGCTAGTAATCATTAAGCGGCCCGACCGCGAGGTGCAGTGCCGCGAAGAACCACCTGCTCGATGATTTCGTGTTCCAGAGCCGAGCTCTGGTATTCAAAACTGTTTCCAGAGGACACCACACCTGGTGAAACAGACCTGGCTCGTAGGACCCCTGTACATAAAGCTGGCACACAGCCCAGCCTGAAGGATTTCATTTGTAGGTCCTTCGTTTGTCTCTTGGTGCCCAGCTTGTTCAGCGGGACACTGGCACAACAAATTAGCTGTCACGGGGAGGAGCGTTGCCACGGTCTGGGCCCATGGGGTATGAGCCCTGGAACACTTCCCCAGGGTCCCAAATCTGTTCCCCAGCGGCTCTGAGTCCCCATTGATGCCTACAGAAATTTCCTTAGTTGAATTGTCATGAGGGAGGTGATACTCAACGAGGATTGCAGCTAGCAAAGAAGGGAGGGAAAACTTTCCTTCTGCTCTGCTGCAGCCCCCACATTGCCCCCCCCAATTTCCCCCTGCATGTTAATCAAATTAAGAGGAAACCTTTTGCTGGTGGACTGGAATGATCTGGAGCACGGTGCTTATTAATTGAATAATTTATTTCAGATTATTTGCATGAGAAATTAATTGGCAGGCTTTGTCTCCTGAGAAATTTAAATAAATCCTGGATATATATGCATATATAGATACAAATCAACATATATAGATTTGAAACCAATGGGCCTGAGGTCCAAACCTTTTATGAGCCTAGAAACAGTCCAATGTTGGTCTAATTAAAATCCCATTCATTTCAGTAAGGCTACCCTAATTAAGACTAACATTAGATACTATGTTGATGTCATATGCTATCATATCATGCCTGGCCTTGCTGGATTTGTGCATTACAACCCAAATAAAATGGCTGTATTAGTATTTTCATTTCTAAATTACCCAATAGCTGTAGCTCTGAGGCAATCCATGTAGGGCTTTACAGATTTGAACAAGCACATTTAATGGGGCTTCACACCACAGAGGCAGCCAGTGTGAGCAGGTTAGCCTTGGTCTTAGTTATTAATTTTGCAGAAACTGTAGCTTCTTGAACAGTCTTGAGAGGCAACTCCACATAATCTTTTAACCTGATCCAGCTAAAATATTCTGCTTCTATAAGGCTTTTTTAGGGGTGGGTTGGAATAAATGAATGCCTTACAACTGGATTGTTCAGAGAACTGGAGAAGGATTTGTGGAGCATGGAATCAGAGAGGTGCTTTTCAAAAAATTATCATGATTGTAGTACCTCTGCTTGCCTTACTGGCAGGAAGAGAACTTGCAATTAATGAGCATGGTAAGTAGAAAACTAGTAAGTTTTACAACCATAAAAGTGTCTGATGGGAGAATGCTATTCTGGGTGCTTTGTTGACAAGCACAAGCAATACTTCTAGTCCATATACTACAGTCTTTTGGATAAAGTCCTACTACATCAACACTCTAATATAAGAAAATAAGAAAATCCATGCTGGATCAGACCACTAGTTTATCCAGTCTAGCATTCTGTTTACATGGTGGCAAACCAGCTGACCAAAGGAGCCATCAAGCAGGATGGGTACAAGAGTTCCACCTGCCCAGGCTCTTCAGCAATAGGTGTATGCAGGTATACCACCTCTGATAATGGAGGTGGTGCACAGCCACCAAGGCTAGTTGCTACTGATAGCCTCCTCCTCCGTGATTAATCAAGCTGTAATCATTGGAATTTGAACCTATCATGACTAGAACGTATTAAGCTCGGATAGTTTCCTCCCATGTACATAAGCGTACATGATGATTTGAGTGTTTGCCCTCTCTATCTTTATACGGACTGCCACTGTATTGGGATCATGGGTGAGAACAGGCGATATAAAACTGCCTCTCCCAAAGCATGTTTACCTGAGAATAAGACATCCTATAAATACCTATTCAGAAGTCCCATTGAGTTAAATGAGACTTACTCTGAAGTGAGTATAGGATAACTTCATTAGGATTGAGTATTATATTATTTAACTTATATTATTTCAAAACTCTAGTTGAGCACAGTTTGTTACATAAATGCAATGTTCTCAGTTCATTGGCAAGCTAGCATATCAGTCCAGGTGCCTTTTATACTGATAATGTTTAACTCACTTTTAGTATATAATATTCTCAATGTTGGGGATATTTTGAACTGCATAAGAGTAAAGTGTTTGTCCCAGCCAGTGTATTTGCACATAAATGGCTTGCATTCATGCACCCTTGCATCCCCAGCATTATTGCATCACATGCACATATCCTACACATTAACCTGGGTACATAAAGCATTCTATATACACACACACACTTAAAAAAAGAAAAAGGCAGCTCAGTTTGTGTGGAAGCTAAGGCTGGCACAAGACATTTGCCTGCCTGAAGAAGAGCAGCGAATGTCCTTGCCCATGTCTCAGGAAAATGTACATGGTAGAAAACCAGTAGAGTGGGGGTTATTCCCAGGGGGCCTGGGATGATCTGAGCTCTAATCCCCACTCAGCCATGAAGTTCACTGAGTAAATTTGGGCCACTACATGACAAACCTAACCTATTCCATAGGGTTGTTGTGACGATAAAATGGAGTTATGTAAGCTACCTTCTGTTCCTTAAAAAAGGCATGATAGAAGTGTGATGCAGTAACATTACACACGACACAATTAAATTACAAAAGTAGATGTATATGAGAAAGTAGCAAACATATCTTCAAAATCTGTTGAGTGGTGAAATATGATCTAAGTCAAGAGTACCTTTTATTTTTCAAATGGGAAGTAAGTGCTCATGTCTCTGGAGGATGAGGTTGTGTTCCAGCTGGTCTCAAGTGCACCATGTTGGGGAAGGCTGGTGTAAGTAATTGTGTAACTACTATACATATAACAAAAAAGAATCATACAGGTACTGACACCAAGATTGATTTCTTTAGTGGACCTCTCCCTCAACAAGTGTCATAAAGCTAACAACATTGATGGAATCCATCCAAAATTGTGCAGTAGAACCCTATTCCAAATCCCACTGAATTTACTACTTACTCTCAGGCCCATGAAGAAATTATAGCATAGCGTGCAACCATAAACACACCCTTGAATAAGATCTATTAACAACAGTGAGGCCTAATTCTAAGTAAACATACATAGGAGTGGCATTGTACTGTAAAGCTCGTAAAGACGTCCCATTGATTTCAGTGGCAGAAGTGAAACCTGCACAAAACGGCCTGCCAAAGCCTCCAGATAGGAACTCCAGAGAAACTCCTTTCCTTTCCCGCAGAGAATTGCTGGAGTTTAATCCCATCATGACAAACCGCAGATTCACCGCCCCCCCGCCCCCCGACAGACTCGTCCGCAGAAAGCGTTGTTCTGTCCTGAGCCCGCCTCCCCGCTCCGGGATCGCCACACGATTGACGTCTACAGCTGCCAGTCAACATTGCCGCTGCGACTGCCGGCCGGCAGCAGGTTGTCCTGTACTGTGCAGCCTCGTACTGGAGCCTTGCCTGGCACCGGAGCTGCAGCCGAACCCCGCTGCTAGTCCCAGCAATTAATCGGAGCGGTCGCGGCAGGTGAAGGGAGCCATCCAGACCCTGGGTGCTTTACAGGTACCTTTTTTCTTCAAGGGCGAAGGGAGCGTGGCATCACCAATTTTTTTAACCTGGGTTCTTCCGTAAAGACGCGAGGTTTATTTTTAGACGTCTTAAAACTTTTGTGCGTTTTGTTGTCAGTTTAGTGGCTTTTAATTTAAGGTTTTGGACTGGCGCAAGTGAGGCTTCGGGCGTAAACAAACCTGCCTATTTTCCAGGAAATGTTAGTGAAAGTCTGGAAGTCTTCTGAAGTACAAAGCAAGTCCCCTTTTCGTTTCTTAAGCAACAAAGGCATATTTTCAAGGAGCCAATAACGTATGCAACATAGTTGCATTTTCTATTATGAATTATTACTATTCAAGCGCAGTGGAATGCTATTTGGGTCTTACACAGGCAGATTATTATAAAAAGGAAAATATTTTTATTATTTCACCATTTATTCCCAATAAGTAGGTATATTATGTGGGGCGGGTAAAAACAGGTGTAACACCAAATTCTTAATTCCTGAAGGGAAATTATAGGCAATATATATTTTTTGTATGTTTATTCTATTTTTTTTAATGTTTTGATTCATTTGCTGGCAGTGCTCATTACTGTAGGCAGGGCAGAAATACACATCTTTGCACATATGCTGATTCTAATGCCAATTTTCCCTGTGCTGGAACCGTTTCTAATGCTTCACTGAAAACAAAATAAATGTGTTTATCAGAAGTCCCAAGGAGTTCAATGGGAACATCTCTAGTAAGTGTCCTTAGGTTTGCATCCAAAGACAGCAAGTTCATGGCCCAGTTTCTCAATGGTGTAAGATGGATATGTTTGATTTTTATTCATAACCAGCCACACCTAGACCTTCTCCTTCCAAGAAATATGCATACACCAGTGAATGCAAGCATAATTCTTTTTTTGACTTATCCTTTCAAAGATCAAAAGTGTATCTGAGATGAAAGAACTGGGACATGTTCCAGGCTTTCAGACACAACAGTTTGTTTGCTTTTCAATTATTTTTCTTCTGTGTGTGATTCTTGGTGAGGAAATTAGCAATATTTAACCTCAGGATTTCCTTGAAGCTTCTTGTATTGGATAGGAATGGAAGTTAATGAAAAATTAATGCAGTGCTATGGACTGGAGTGAACCCATAGAAGGGCGTAGTGGAAATTCTCAAATATCCCTGTTACTTTCTGCAGAACTTCAATTCTTACATAAGTTTGTAAAATCTATCAAGGTAACTTTCTGAATGTTACCAGATTTCACATTGTGAGAATTAATGCCACTGGCTCTTAAAAGTCAAAAATAGATGCTCCTAGCCAGGTACAGAAGGTGGTAGGGATGGAAGAGAAAATATCAATTATTTCTGAAGACATCCTTCCCACAGACTGAGTTTTGTCTGAATCGGGAAGCAAAGTGCTAATTCATCCATGGCCCATTAGTTTAATAATGAATCCTAAACCCCAAAACTTAACTATTAGTATTGGGGCTTTAATAAATCTAAAATGCACAGTTGAGCAATACCCTTATTAGGACAAACCAACATGTGTTCTCCAGAACTTTTTTTCAGTCTAGGTGGTAATAACAAGGCATGGGGAAAGACCAGAAAAGTCCCAAATAGGCCTAATGTTATAGCTATGAGATCTGCAAATTAGACCTACTCTCAAAATGGAGATTGAAGTCTGAATGAATTAGTCATTGGTAGGTGCTGCTGGTATCAGATGGCATCTAGTATTCTGGGACAAAGAAGCAATAGCTGGCCCCCATTTCTGGAAGCATAAAGGCTGGCTGTAAATCAGATCTGGCTCTTGTACAGGTTCATGGTTAGACAGAGAACAGAAGAAAAGGGAAACATGCTAGTCTTTACATTAGTAAAGTTGGAGAGTCATTTTAGATGCTGAGTTAAAAAAAAGAAAAGAAAGTTGAACACAAATTGTGCGGTGTTACCTAACTGTTGAATGGAATGGAGTTTAATTGGTCATCTTTTTCTTGATTTTCCCATCCCCAGAAAATTCAATGCATAATATGAGCACAAGTAGCTTGATTCCTTTTCTAATATGAGAGTGAAACTGAACTTACCTCACTGAACTGCCTGTTCTTGTTTCCTTTAGGACTGGACTTTAGCTTTTCAGGAATGTCATATAGATTGACTTCTTAGAATGCCTTGTATGGCTATACAGTTTGTTGGTCTGAAAAAAGGCAAAATCAAGAAAATGCTTAGATCAACCAGAGGGCAAAACTATGCTATGGCTTGTTTGCTTACAATTTGGGTCAATATTAAAGAAATAAGGCACAAAACAAGGCACTAGAGAGGCATTTAACTCATGGTTTCACATATACAAGCATAAGGTAAAGGTTTCCCCTTGACATTAAGTCCAGTCATGCCTGACTCTAGGGGGCGGTGCTCATCTCCGTTTCCTAGCCGAGGGAGCCAGCGTTTGTCCACAGACAGTCTCCGTGGTCATGTGGCCAGCATGACCATAAACACCATAGTGCACGGAACGCTGTTACCTGCCCACCGAAGTGGTACCTTTTTATCTACTTGTATTTGCATGCTTTCGAACTGCAGGGTTGGCAGGAGCTGGGCAGAGCAATGGGAACTTACCCCGTTGTGCAGATTCGAACCGGCAACCTTTTGATCAAACAGCCCAGCAGCACAGTGGTTTAAACCACTGTGCCACCTGCAGTCCCTATATACAAGCATAACTCAAGACAAATTAATTCTCCATTTAACTTTTCTCTATATCCACCTAGCCTGTTCTGTTCTGCTCATTTATCTGTTCTGAATTTTGGTGGTAAAAAATAATAGCTTTAGGGTGAAACTAAACAAATTGATTATTTCCATGCTAACAGACTATACCATCATGAAAAGAACAAAGATTCTAACTAATTACTGCATGGCTCTGAAACTTAAGATGTTGTATTGCTGGCATTTTAGAGATATATTATTTTCTCTAAACTCAGTCAAAATGGTAAATGCAAGACAAGGGGATTCAGAAGTTGCCATCAGGAAGGAAAGGAGTAATCCTTCCAAGAACATTGCCTAACTAATGCTTTTTGTGCCCCATGGTACAATACAGATCAATGGGAGATGATGGTCAGTGTTGAGTATCCTGCTTGGACGATAAGCAAGGAAGGATGTGAGCCAGGTAGTCAATCTGGTTATTTTGGAGTACCATTCTTCATGAGCCTCAGTGATAGTGAGGGGTTCTGGAGTTATAACTGGAAGGCCTCAAGTTGTGTATCCTTCTGGTTGAAATATCTCTGTCATTTGGGTACTATGGCATTCTTGGTGACCAATCTAAACACTAACTTGCTTCCATATATGGTAATAAAAGTGTCAGCCTAACTGACAGGCTAAGTAACTCACCTTTGACCACATTTGGTTTTGTTATCTGCTCAGAACAAACTTTACTGCTCATGAAACTTGCACTGATGAAGTGAAATGAAGTTCTTTAGAGCACCAATTAATGCCCTACCTGGTCAGACAGAGGTAGCCCTGTAACTATTTTTTATTTAATTATTTATTACATGCATTTATACACCGTCCTATTGCTTCAAGCACTCACATTTGATTACATTCTTCTAACTACTGATTTTGAATGTTGCTATATGTTATACCTGGGACTATCTCTGGAAACAGTCCTGAAACACTGGTTAGTCTAAAACAGGGTGACTGAGCTATAAATTGGAATACACATGCATTTATGCCAGTATTTGCTATTTATAGTGGCTGCCCATCTATTTCCCTAGCCAATTCAAAGTACTGGAATTAATCTTTTCAGACTTGAATAACTTGAGGCTACCTGAAAGAGTGTCTGCTCTTATATCCAACCATATCTACCTAAGATCATTGACCAAGGTAGACATGGTTAGATGCTCAGATGCCACAACCGAATTAGATGAGGCATGTGGCTACAAGAGATGGGGCCTTTTTAGCAATGGGCCCCCATCTGTAGAATGCCCTCCCTAGAGACTTACTTGGCAGTTATGATTTTTTTTTTGCATCAGGTGAAGTTTAGGAACGGTTTTTAGTGCTACTTGATCTTAGTAATTTTATTATATTGCTGTTTTTATCACTTTGGTCTTTATACTGCAATATTTTTTAAACCAAATTGATTTGGTTCCCCAAATAGATGGGGAAGAAATGGAGGTACTGAAATGGATGAAGCTGATTAGGGATGAGAGAAAGTATTATGGAATGCACTGCCACAGGAAGTAGTGATGGACACAAATCTAGAAGGCTACAGGTTTTTGGAAGGGATTGGACAGGTTCCTTGCTAGCAGCATTACTGGTTATGTGCTACCTGCTTCAACAGTGGTGGCATGCCTACATACATGCCTACGCAACAGGTGGTGAGCAGCTTGGGCAGGTGAAGGCCTTGCACCCATCCCACTCAAGTGATTGATCCTGTGAGCAGCTGGTTGATACCGTGTATATAGAATACTGGACTAGATCTGGTCTAATCTAGCATGGCTTTTCTAAAAAAAAAGTGTCACTGGCACTATTAGAAGCAATAGTTAGATATGTGATAGTATTTCTTCTTGCTATAGTGGTGTTTTTATGCAGAGAAGGAGAAACAATGACAGGTCCTGTTTAACACATATTGTAGTTAATGCAGCATATTGTAAATCATGTGCCAGTGGGTTTTTTCTGGCTGTGCTAAGGTCCATAAATGATTGTCTTATGCTTTACAGCATTCATAGCAACCTATACATAAATGGTACTAAAAGAACAATATCTAAAATTCCCACAGGTACTATATTCTGCTGTAGATAGATCAGAATTGTGTGTTTTTTAAAATTGTCATACAGGGTGTGTACACATATGCAGTTCAGTCATATATGTATACTCAGAAGTAAGTCCCTGTGAGTTCATTGGAGCTCAATCCCAAGTAAGTGGGTATAAAAGAATTGCACTACAGCAACCCATGATCAATTATAGTGTGTCAAATGTTATTCACTACTGAAGCCTCATTACATCTTCTCACTATAGTGAAGACAGTGTCAATCAATGTTTCAGATCGGAAGAT